CATGGGCCTCCAAAGGAATCGGCACCACCAGGACCTCCATGCCGCTGGGGCTGGTCCTATTTCCATCATCCATTGTTGCAGGGAATGGGATATACTCCATTGATGCCTTTTTGTTGAGGTGTTCAGTGTTCAGCCGCCCACCTTTGTGTTAGAATATCTATATAATAGAAACACTTGGGTCGCACTTGAGTCCGGCAGGTCATTGATCGACTACCATAGCAAAACACAAAAACACAAAAAACAGAAAACAGCAACAATCCTGAAAACAAACAACTATGGCTGAAAATGCTCCTAGCAATGTTTCTGAATAGGTGTTCACGATCCTTGGTCAACATTGGAGAAGGAGATCAAACCGTTTTTTGAGTGACCTGAACAACATGAGTGTGTTTTTCCTTTTTGATCCTTGGTAATAGGGAAAGGACACCTATTTGAACAACCTCGTCTTTAACTCTAGAATTCAACAGGATTGTTGCTTGAAGGTGCACACATGCACTCCATTCAATGTTTGTTGCGAAGAACTTTAGTGCCCCCGAAGCCAAGCTGCTTGGACCAGTCACCAGTCAGTGGAAACTGAGGGAGTCAGTGGACAGTTCCAACCTTTGCCAGGTGGAGCCTTGTTCCTCCGAAGCGGCTTCCTCTGGAGCTCCGGCCGTGCATGGTCCGGGCCGAGCTCCGGCAGTGAACGGTTTCGCAGAGGCCAAGGGGTGTGGCTTGGCTGAGAGAGGCCTGGGAGGTTTAGAGAACAGGGGAATCTACAATTACAGAGGAACATAGATACATGAGGGCCTTCCGTTATTGCCAGTGAAGGAGTTTAGATGAAAGATGATGAATACAGTGAAGAAGAGCTCTGTTGGACAACCCCCACATGACGTACATAACCTTCAAGATCGAACAGTGTTTGCAGGTTTTTGTGTGTGTATGTGTTTATTTTTTAATGTGGATTTATGTGGTCATGTGCTTCCTGCAGGGGGAAGGGATGATGACACTGACACTGCAATAGTGTTTGTTGATGTCAAATTTGTTCACATGTCCAATTTTTCCACCACCTGCCAGTTGATGTTGAAGCAATCTAGCCGTATACACCATTAGCAGAGTATAAATGCCATGGTGGGGATCACTCGAAGTAGAGCATATAAAGACTATAGACCTCCAAATAGATAGAAAAGTAGATCCCCACTGAAAATGTTTTGGAAGCCGTGCATCTATCTATTTGGGGATTACTATATTATGTGTCATTTTTGCATGTGCACCACTTGCACCGCACAATCAGAGACTACAACGGACCCACCGGGTCTGAATAGCCCTCCCTGGAAGAAACAGGGGGGGCCTGGCGTGAGTGCATCCCCTGGACTTGTAGAGTCTTTCCAAGGGCCATGCCATCCACGTACCCATGTTTGTTGCAGGGAGGGTATAGTTTGTTGCATTTCTAAGTGCGATGGGATCGACCAATCTTCAACACTTGGGCGTTTTGGGCCCACCATGGCCCAAGGAAAGCGCCCAGCGAGATGGTTTGGTACATGACACTCACACAGCCATGTACACAAAATGCCTTTGGTTCAATGCCCGTACAATACAAGCCACACCCCAAAAAATTATTGGTTCAGTGGAGGTTACAACCATCCCTTTTATCCAACTGGATCCTCTACCAGCTTTTAGGCTGGAGACCGTCCTCCCAGCCCTCGGACCGGTCCTCGTACCGGTCCTCCCCAACCAGTCGTGACCCATGTGGAGACTCCCAGTGTCGGTACGAAGAACTGGCTGAGGTAAGAATGTGGTCTCCTTGCTCCAGGAATACGTCCAAACCTCCAAGAGCCACTCAGCCGCGAGGAGCGGAGGAGCCCTGGGAGGGAGGAAGATCCCCTGTTTGGGGCTCCTGTCCCATCTCCTCAGGTTCGACGGTATTCGACCCCCCTGGCACCCACCTTAACCACCTTCGAAATGGAGGTAGGCCTGAAACGAAGGATGCATTTCTGGACCCTCCTGGCACCTACAGGAGTGTCCATCCGAGAGGATGTTGGGG